AAATGAATGAAAAAGAGAACAGAACCTTCTGTTGGCCGTGGGTGCGGGGTGCAAAGCTATTTCTTGTTTCCATATAAACAAAATGCCCGGGCTGGTTTCAAGGGTGTGAGGGAAGAAAACAACCCTCCTCCCACCCTCTTAAGTTTCTTGCTTGGGGCGTGCGAATTAAACTGGCAAAGACAGATTAAGGGAGGAAAGGGTTTTTTTCTTACGCGTAATGGGAGCCAACAAAGGACTAGCTGGCTCCTTAAATGGTTAAAGTTAAAGGTTTATCCATCCAACTCAGTAGGGCAAAGGGAGTACGGACAGCTTCTACGAGAAAACCAAACAGATTTATTTAAGAAAGACAAATGGGTTTTTAGGAGGGCAAACAGAAGATAAGAAAGTTTGTGAAAATGTTGGTCTATACAGGTGTGAGTGGGTTTTCCTTCTCCTTCAGGACCGTAAAATCTCCCCAGAGAGGGGATTTATGGCAGCTTCACCACCCCACCCCCCCAGAAGTTGCTGCTTTTAGTCAGATGGGGGAAGCTCCGAGGAAGGCTTTTCTTCCGCATTTGCTAAATCTCAGATGTCTTCAGCTTAAAATAGTTTTCATGCCAACTCTGGGGTTTCGAGTGGGTCTCCACAAGAGTAAAATAAATTAGAGAAGGAATTAGAAACGTGCTTCCTCCTGCAGGAAAGAAACATGGCGAGTCAGTGTTCAGAGCTGTCTTCAAGTCAAATCACTTTACTTCTTTACGTGAAAACTAGTTTGAAGTAGACTTCAAACCACACTATTTTCCCTTAGCTTAAACATTCACAGGCTAAAACGGGGCATGACACAGTGTACCCTAACCTAAGAGAAACGAGCCACATAAAACTTAGAATTCTGGTCTGAAAAGAACCTTGAAGATAATTTCTTAGAGAAAAGTGAGGCTTACAGACCAAAACCCCCAAGCTAATGCAAAGAATTAGCACAGAAATAAAGACCCCCAGCCCTGTTCCCTGCCATCGCACTAGCCACTACCTCCAGATCCAAAAACTCAGCCTAAGAAGTGGGGCCAAGGAGGCAAAATACTTTAATGAAGTGATGACTAAGAATGGGATTTTTAAGTTAACAGTGAACTAATTCTTTAGTGGGCACTGCAGTTTACTTTGAGTGATTTGTCTGGGTTCATCTAAGCACAAGCCACTCTCCTGGGAATGTGAAAGGGGCAGGGGTGGCAGGACACAGGCCTAGTGCTAAAGTGGTCTAATCAGGTTGAAGAAAAACCTTATTTTCCATGGTTATGGGAACTTCTTCCTCACACCCCACGTGGCCATAGGCGAGGATCGTAAAGCTCAGACATCCACTAGGAGCCATCTAATAGTGATGAAATGGATCAGCCGTATTAGGGTACAGTCGAAATCGAGCATGGAAGGAAACAGCTTCCGGAGAGGTGGAACTGACCAGGCACGTGCCCAGCCTTACACTCGTGGTCATGAGTCCCAGCGGGGATTCCATTACTTGCAGCCGAAAGCATCCTGACAATATTCTATACCCAGCCGTGGAAGGATGATAAAGGTTATTATTCAGGACTCTATTCAACTGTTATTATGAAGTCTTCTCACAATTCTTATGTTTACACCGCTCAATATTCATAGTTCCTGTGGCCCCTTTCACATGTGACATCGTGTATGATAAAGCATGAAGTAAAGCTAATTATAAACATTAAGAGAACACACACGTCTCGCGCCTCATCCCCCGAGTAGATATAGGATCCCCAAGAATAAACTCGTCTTAGAAACTTTAATGTCTGCTCCGGCAACTGATACAATTCCACAAAGCAGAAACCACATACTTGCTAAGTGACGTGTGACCCCAGGTTAAATACTTGGCAGAAAGAGCTGTCAGCTTTGTCTTCAAAACAAGGGAGTAGAGTACACAGCATAAAGTAGGTGCTTTACCACTTACACACATGGCGTGGAATTTTATTTCAGGGGCGGTGGCTTCTCCTGCACTGCCACAGTAAATCTATTATTTCTGTTATGTACCCCTAAGAAATTCTGTAACTTGGAAAATTTTACTGTAAGTAAGGAGGAATATATCACTTTTGAGATGACTTTTGGTGCCCTTTTCTTTGCAATAAATACAGCCTTGTAATATCCATTTTGAATCCGGATACATATTAAATTTTTGTGGAGGGGGTACCTTTCTGATCCCGAGGACATAATGAGCTACATTTTAGATTACGAAGCACAAGAGCCTAATTATAATCTTGTTTTTGTCAAGTGGGACTTGCATATTAAATCGATCAAGTGTCACCATGCCATGTTTATATTTTTGTAAAGGTTGAAGACTACTATCTGTCTTTCCCCTTCGGTGACTTTGAATAACAGGGGCTTGCTTAGAGCAAGCACCCACGTACCTGCTAATCCTGCCGAGGAACTGAAATCAGTGGGAGCCCTGCTGGTCTCCCTCTAGACAGATTCTTCTTGGCAGAAGTAGGCCAGAGCGTGGGAGACTGTGTATCATGTCTCAGCATTTCCTTATTGCCCTTGAATCTCCCTTTCCTTGTTGATGATGATGAGGTGATGGCTGAAAGTCATTGAGCGTTTTCCGCTTCCCACGAGTTCTTTTCTAAGTGCTTTCAGGTGTCATCTCGTAGTATCCTCAAAACAACTCTGATACATCAGTGCTGCGGTCTGAATGTTTGTTCCCCACAAATTCATATGGTGAACTTTAACCCCCCCCATGCAATGGTATGAGGAGGCAGGGCTTCGGGGAGGTGATTAGGTCACGAGGGTAGAGCCTTCATAATGGGATTAGTGCCCTTATAAAGGAGACCCCAGAGCACTGCCCCCCTTCCCTCACGTGAGGACCCAAGAGAAGATGGCCGCCTGTGAAGCAAGAAGCGGGCCCTCCTCACCAGACATCGCATGGCCCAGTATCTTGACCTTGGATTTCTCAGCCTCCAGAACTGTGAGAAATACATTTCTGTTGTTTATAAGCTGCCCAGTCGATGGTATTTTGTAGTAGCAGCCCAAACAGACTAAAATAGTAAGTTATATTATTCCTTTTATAGCCGAGAAAGCTGAGGCCCAGAGATATTAAGATCACACAGCAAGTGAAGGCCTGAGTCCTAATTCCAACCGAGCCGTCTGCCTCCAAGACGCACATTATTATTATCATTATTTTTTTCTGTAAATTGAGGCATAATTGACATTATATGAGTTTCAGGTGTAAGATGTAATGATTTGCTATTCGAATGTGTTGTGAAATGATCATAAGTCTAGTTAACATCTACCACCTTACAGTTAAAATAACTTTTTTTCTTTCTTGTGATGAGAAGTTTTAAGAGCTCTCTTAGCAACTTTCAGATATGTAATACAGGCTTATCGACTCTAGTTACCATGCTGTACATAACATTCCTATGACATATTTGTCTTATAACTAGAGATCTGTACCTTTTGACCCTCTTCATGAATCTCCCTGACCTCCCACCACCCACCTCTAGCGACCAGCAATTTCACCAATCTTCTGTGTATCTATGAGCTCAGTTTTGGAGGGTATTTTTAAAGATTCCACAGATAAATGAGATAATATGGTATCCCTATCTCTTATTCACTTAGCACAATGTCTTCGAGGTCCATCCATGTTGTTGCAAATGGCAGGATTTCATTCTCTTTAATGGCTGAATAATATTCCACTGTATGGACATTTTGTGTATATTATTCATTTTATCTGTTCATCTGTCACGTTATTTCCATGTCTTGCCTATTATAATGCAATGAATATGGGAGGGGTGAAGATATTTTTTCGAGGACAAACGTTCTTGATCACCACACATGGCTTTGAGCCTGTGAAAATTGATCCACAATACAAGTCCCACAGGTACCACAGAGGTGAGGCCTAAATGTACGTCTCTTCACTTAGCTAGGGAGGAATAACTCTGGTAAAGAAACCGTATTGGTGACTCAGTATAGAAATTGGTAACTATAAACTCAAAAATATTTATGAGCACTTGCCCCGCCCACGACCACAAGGCAGTCTTTAAATCAGAATGCCAGCACTTACACACCGGTTCATTCACAGACTGCTCTCTCCAGGACTGAGTGCCCTGTGGAGTCTCTGCCTTCCCATCGTGATGCACGGTGCATAAACAAACATTCAGTGAATGGATGTTAGCTAGGGAAGTACTAGGAATACGCCCTATCAGTTCAAACCTCCACTTTGTTTGCTGAGTCTTAGCCTAACGTACAGTAGTTCTGATTCTGAACAGCGCCGCTTCCGTAGACAAGACTTTGTTTAAAACCCCAGAGATTACCCAAAATGAACTTCAAGTTATAAATGAAACCTATCAGAGTATTGATTCTTGGATATGATCATGTTCGATCTAGACACAAAGCAGATCTGAAATCCACTAGGCTGTAGTCTTTTCCAGGGTATAAACTGTCGATATTGTCATCAAAAAGAGAGAGATCGAAGCCCTATAAAAGGGCTGCCTGTCTATGGCTAACTTTTGTTTCCAGTTATGACACTGTTTCTCGTAATAATGCCTTATCCTGTACTAATTCAGTAGCACTCAAGACCAAAAAAAAAAAAAATGCCAAGAGTAACGGTTTTCTTTAGCACAGGCAGACCTCATTTTATTGTGCTTCACAGGTTATTTTTTACAAAATGAAGGCAAGACCCTCCACTGGCAAAAGATTGCGACTCACTTTATGGTGGTGGTCTACAACCGAACCCTCAGTAGATCCGAGGTCTGTCTGTACTTTAAAAATATGTGATTAGCAGATGAGCAGATGGCTGCCTCTAGCAGAGACTGTGGCATTACTTCTATAAAGATTACTTCTGTCAGAAGAAATGATTAAGTGTAACGTTACTGAAGAGATTTGCAAAACTTGTTTACCATCAACTTTATTTTATTTTAAAATATGCAAATATTTTGAAATATAGGAGTTTAAGGTTGTTGGATTTTTAAAATTCCATGCAAAGCTGTCACAACAAAGAAATTCACAGCAAATTAATCACTCCAGGCTGCTAATTCCATCTAAGAATTTAATGGTATTTGGGGTAAATAAAAAGAATTATTATCAACTTTAAAAAACCCAAGTCATTTGTAACACGCTGCTCGAAGTAGAACAATGTTATGGATTACTAGTACCAAGCATTTCAATGGCAAACTTAGAGCTCCCTCAAAAAAAGTCTGAACTGAGACAGTGAGTTGATGCAAACATTCTACATCTGGGAAAAATACTCTCCTGGTGAATTCTAACACTCAACAAAATCTAACCATGTTTTGGAAAGGGACCCGAGCTAGCACTGCGACTTGTGCCTGACCTTCAAGGTTTAGATGAGGCCAACTGCAGGGAAGGCTTCAGGCAGAAGGATGGAACGCAAAGGTAGGAGAACTTGTCAAATGCCAGGGACAATGAGACCTGTTTGTTGGGAGCAGAGTTATATATCAGAACCACAAACTTGAAATGCAAATATTTAAAAGACTATTTTAATATCTTAATATTAAAAAGACTATTAGAATATTTTAATATTCTAATGCACGTGCACCATCAAACCATGGGGGCGTTCAAACTATTCTCTAACAAGATCCAGTCTGAAAACTTCATATGAGAATTTGGAGAGCCAAGAAACATCTTAGTTTTGCTGAGTACATTTCTAGTGTAAATCTTTTATGTTTCTTCTCAGGATTCACTGCTAGGTCATAGGGGCTTTAGACATGCTGGCAACTCTTTAAAAAGCATAACTGAATAGCTTCCATTAAAATATTTGACCAGGTAAAAGCTCCTGAGCATCGCAGAGGCTTTCGGATCCACATGTTGCGTATTCAAGAGAAAACAGTAAGAAAAAAAGTAGCTCTCCTCATATTTTAAGTTCTTTTTCAGAGGTCGTTCAGACTTTTCTAGATTAAATACACAGGCAATACCACAGATAAAGTGAAAACTAAGGGACTGCTTCCCACTGAAGGGAAGTGGGAATTAAATTTAACATGATCTGCTATGAACTGCAGGGTGAAAATGAAACTCCAAAGAGCAGGTGCATGCTGTCCTTCACTAAGTGAAGTGTAAGGTGTCATTATCCACTTGCACTCCCAGTACATGATGACTGCAATTCAGTTTGGGGAAAATAGTTTAATATATTGTTCAGAAAAAAAAAAAAAAAAGGTTATATTTGCCCATCTCTAACAAGACAGTGGTTATGAGGTCCAGCGCCACCAGGCGACCTTCATCCTGTCCCACACCGCCGAAAGCGAGTCCAAAGCGGGTCGGACGTCCAGGATGGTGAACTGGTAGTCCCGGCTGACTTCGCCGCCGTCGTAGTAGTCAATGACGTATCTGACTTCCGTCCCACAGCGGTTGATGATCCAATCGTGCCTGTCGAAAGGCAACTCGTACCTGGAATGAAAACGTGCCGGTGAGCGTTCAATCGCTCGCCGTGCCTCCGGCTCCAGAAGAGCAGCGCGCGGCGAGGCCTGCTCCGAGTCATGTGTCTCAACGGGGAGGCGACGCTCGGCATCGCAGTCCACAGCGCCCACGAAAGGAGGTGCTGGAGACCTGTGGTGAGCCCAGGGCACACGAAGGCTCACCTGTCTGCAAAGGCATCGGGTCCCCGTGAAGGAGACCCAGCGGGGTGAGCGGGGACTCTGACTACGCAGGAAGAAGAGGGAGGAGCGCTGAGTGCAGGGGTCCAAAGAGGACAGATTTAACAACCCAGAAGACAACTCAGTTCGATGCCAGATACTTAGGCAGGCCGCGTGTAGGGTTAACGCAGCCCCTCCACGTACTCAGAGGACTGCTGGCTGCCCGGCCGGCAGCCAAGGCCGGCAGCACAAAGGGCGTTCAGCAGCGCCTATCCCCAAGGACGTTTCCTGCTGCTCCCGTGGACGTTATCTGCTCCCGTAACCCAGAAGCACATCTCGCTCCCATCCGGCTGGGGAGGTGGCGGCTCCCCCACGAGATAACCCCTCCCCCGGCTCCTGGCCATGCAGAACTCTGCTTGCTCGGGTCAGCAGCCTTCTTCCTCAGCTCCCACCGGCCGCTGCTGAAGCTTCCCTGCCTCGTGAGTAATGAACGACACTTGTCACCCCTCTGGTCCTCCTGGTGGTCCTTCTGGAGGACCCAATCCAGGCGCAGGCTCCAGGCCCGGGGCTCCTGCGTTGCAGCTGGCGTGGCCGGCAGGGTATTATGGAGCACCCCGGTTGAGTCAATCTCGAGTTGGGGGCATGGGGAGGACATGCCTGGTGGGGTTCGCCAGGGGAATCCCGGGGTGGGCCTCTGGGTCCATGTTATCTGAGGTGGCAAGCCTTTTAGATTTGTGGGCCCCACCAAAGGAGGGGGGGATGCTCCCAACGTGCTTATGGGCCTCTTCCAGCTTTTGCTCTAAGTAGGGAGACTGTGTTCTTTAAGGAGCTGCGGCCGTGGCAGCACAGAGGGCCGCCCGTCCTGCAGGCGCCACGGGAAGCCAGTGCCAAGCAGCTCAGGCCAAGGAAAGGGTGACGGAAGTGGAAGCGAGGCTACACGGACCTGCGAGTCACACGGGCCAACAGCGAGGGTATTCTGGGAAGGCAGTGAGAACAGACTAATGAACAACCGCAGGACCTAGCCTGTACCTTGCGAAAGTTCGGGAGGAAAAGCTAATGAGAGATCACCTATGGGTAGTCACTGCACAGTCTGAATGGAACCCCAGGAAGTGGGACCCCACAGCAGAACACGAGTCTGAGTCAGATGAAGAAATAGAGGTGTCCCTCCCAGACGAAGCCACGTGTCTTGGGCCTCCCCAGTAATTGTTCAGAAACTAACAGGAGCACCCTGAGGGGCAAGACCCGAGGACGCTAGCTCGCCCCCCTAAACATTTGCACCTCCGCCTGGCCGCGTGAGGCAGCGGAGCCGGCGACCAAGGTCCGCTGGGAAGGGTCACAGTCCATCACGGGGCAGTGACTTCGTCTTTGGGACACCGGTGCGGAAGGCATAATACTGTCTGGAGATGAACTGACCAGATGGCCACTGTCACCAGCCACCCTTCTTTGTGCCAATGCATATGCGGGGCAATCCAATATGCAGAAAATGTGTCGCTGCCGAATTGGTTCATGGCGGGCTGCCGCATGGCTGGGCCAAATGAAGGCGAGTTGCCGATGGCCCAGCCGTGCTGGATGTCCCCGCCGTAACTGCAGGCGTTCCTTAGGGAGATGGGATGGCAGCATGCTATATCGAACCATCCGAGGGCCCTGATGCAGTGCCATTTACTACAGGTATGCGGGACCGCGCCATCCAGACGGCCCCGCCGGCCTATTGTGATACTTTGGTGCCTGTCCTGTCCACTCTAGTGGGGAGAACAATCCAGGTGGCAGCACAGGCTGTTGCCCATTTGGGGGAAACTGAACTGGCCCGATGGGTCCAGGGAAAAGACAGAAAGTTGTGGGTGTGCAGGCAGAGGGTAAGGATTGTCTGGTAAAGGAGACCAGATGGCAACTATGGACGGATCTGAGAAGGGCCGGGGTCGCCCCCCCACCCCTCCAAAAATGATAAGCAACCCAGCATAGTACTGGTAGCCCTGCGGCAGCTTAAACCACAGCAGAAATTGCAACCCCTGCTCGACAGGCGGGTGGCTGTCCGCACCTTGGAATGGACCTCAAGTGGTAGGGACTTGCGACCCTCAGCTCCTTGCTTGGATGACTTTTTGCGGGACCAGGACACGTCCAAAATATTCAGACAGCCAAGATCAATTCGTCTTTACCTGGGAAGGACAACAATGGGCCTTCACTGTCCTACCGATGGGGTATCTCCCTAGCCCCACTATTTGCCAAGATTTTGTGGCTCAGGATTTGACTGGCTGGACTAACCCCTCCTCCACACAATGTACCGTTATAGTAATGACGTCATGCTAACCTCTGACTCTCTCAGACCTATAAGCCTACGCCACCCCTGCCTTTTCCCAGCCTCTGTAAAACTGTCAAGGGCAAACGAAATACTTCTAGAGGTCATAAAATATATTCATAAATTCGCCAATCTAAAGGATGTTAACTGCTTACTAACTGCCATTAGAAATGGAAGTTTCTGAGAGTTAAGAATTTGTATTACAATTGAAAGGGACATGTATGTGTTTAGTAACAGAAGGTCTAAGGTATAGGGATTTACTTCAAAGGAGATTAAAGAAAAGTAGTTTGTCCTAAAGTTGGTTATTTCTAAAGGAGTAAGAAGAGGCAAACTGATGGGATGAAGAAAGTTGCAGGTCTGTGAAGAGAAATCTTGTGTCTACGGCCACACCGCCCTGAACGCGCCTGATCCCAGCTGATCTCGGAAGCTAAGCAGGGTCGGGCCTGATTAGTACTTGGAAGGGAGAAATCTTGAAGGAGGAAACTTTATATATGGTTGAGCTAAACAAGACTGGAAATATATTTAAATGTCAAAAGCGAGCTAATACGAAATCACAGTTGTGTTTTCTCCCTCTGCTAAGTAACACAGTTTCTGGGACTGTTGGTCAGCTACTGATGTTACGGAAAAGCTTACTGCCTGAAGAAAACAGAGATTCTGTGTTTTATCAGAATAATTTCCCATGTTTTATGTTGTCTTAATCAGGCCCTTGGCTACTTAAGGAAATGGAATCTCCACAACAGTAAGAATTGAGTTTTGCTAATAATTATGCAGAATTGGCATGTTTCTTTTCCTCCCCACCTACCCCTCCGAAACCGAACACTTTTAATGAGTAAGTCCCCTTACTCTCATGGCAATGTGGTTATTTGCATAAGTTCGATAAGAATCTGTTCTCTTTATAACAGGGCATGATTGGAAACTAGCTTTTAGTGCCAAGTCTTTGACTGGAGTGTCATATTAGAGAGGAATGCAGAGACTCGGATATGACCGAACGGCTTTAAGGAATTGACTCACGGGAGCCAATAAAAGCCTTTAGAAATATTGGCCGGGTACCATGCTCTCAGGGTTCCCAGCAGCCTTCTCATGTGAGTAAAGAATGTCAGTTCTTGGCAGGTGCGGGCACCTCAAGATATTTTGGAGATGTCAAGAAGAGAGGAACTCACCTGAAACCTGTAGGTATTGCAGGCATCATCTGAGGGCGGCCCTTGCTTTGGCTTTTCTGGCCTTGCGAGGCCTTTAAGCTCAATCTGAAGATTCCTTGTAAAATTCCAGCAAAGCAGAATTAAAAGGGCCCATCTGGTTAATTGATATTCTTGCTGGGCTTATGCAAGTGATCAGGCCCAAGTTTATTGAGACGACTTATTTCGCAAATGAATGAGTCCTAATTTGGCTAACTTTGGTAAAGACGAGTAGTTGGAGAGGAAAGAGAAAACGTTTCGATAAAGATCGAAATATACGTATGTGAACATTAGATTCTTATACTATTCATTGTCTTTTAGGTTTTTATTTTCTACTTGTAGATTGGACTGGGTCCTAAATTCTTCTAGCTTCCTCCAACATCTGTCTGTGGCTCTTCGAACATGTTTTCGATTTGTAATTTTTCTCCCATCCTTCAACTAGGCATTATTGGAAAACTATAACTGCTTTCTCCAAGCCACGCAAGCTAAAGATGGACAACTTGATATATAATTCGAGAGATTGCCACAATGGCTCATGTTTGAACAACCTCAGTGACTGGTGCTGGGTGGGCCAAGTGAACAGTTTGCCCTGGTGCCTACGGACATCATCAGGGACATTTCAAGTGGCGGCAGATGCTTCCAGCCTTATATCTAGAAATCTGCTGACAACCTTACAAACTCAGAAGCTGCTCTGTAATTTGCTCTATTAACCTTTTTCTCGTTTTCATTGACATAGGAGGCATCTATACAGTGGCTAATACGACAGTAACAGCTCTGGGAAAGTTGAGACTCAAATACATAGAATCATGCAGAAGGCTACTTTGTATTCATAGTGAACCAAAAGCTAACAACACACTCAGTTGAATGTAGGAGTTTCATTCCTCTAACCACCAAACTCCGGCCTTTTTTAGAAGAAAGCAGCCAGAACGGTCTCCTTGCCTCTCTTCCCTCAAGACTGAGGAATGATCAGGAGACCGGGGGGAGTTGTAACAGGAATTGTAGCCTGACGTGTTGCATGCAGCACTTGGGGCAAAGCCCTTAACCACCTGGTGGCCCTCCATCGGCCCTTGGGGCCATTACCTGGTAACAGGACTGCTGGGCTGATGTGTAGTTACTGTTAGGGTGTAGTCTTTATTGCATTTGTGATATATGGATGCAATAACAAATGCTCTAGCCACCCAGGGATCCCCTGTCCGGAAGACGTGACATGAAGAATGTGAGGTGGAGAGGCGTCGGGTTAACTGGGACACAGCCCCTCCACGTACTCAAGGACCGCTGGCTGCACAAAGGGCTTTCGGCGGGGCCTGCCCCCAAGGACGTTTCCTGCTGCTCCCGTGGACGTTATCTGCTCCTGTAACCCAGAAGCACATCTCGCTCCCACCCGGCCGAGGAGGTGGCGGCTCCCCCACGAGATAACCCCTCCCCCGGCTCCTGGCCATGCTCGGGTCAGCAGCCTTCCTCCTCAGCTCCCACCGGCAGCTGCTGAAGCTTCCCTGCCTCGTGAGTAACGAACAGCACTTGTCACCCCTGTGGTCCTCCTGGTGGTCCTTCCGGAGGACCCAACCCAGGCGCAGGCTACGGGCCCGGGGCTCCTGCGTTACAATGCAACCCACGAAACGCCAGTGGATCTGGCTGCCATGGGGCCAACTTCGGGGAGCGGAAGAAATCCACCGCTGAATACTGAGTTTTAGACGGTGGCGCTACAGTTCCCAGACTGCCTTGGGTGCCAAGGAAAAGCTGCCCCTGCCGCGAGGTGTGGTGATCACCTTTCTGCACCGACACTCACCCCATCCAGGACCGGATCCTCGCCCGTGGTGAATACTCTTTCGCTTTACCTCCGAACCGAATCAACGACGGGCCACAAGGACATTCCCTAGAAACCCCCCAATAAGAGAAGTCTATGAAAATATTTTCTTTCCTTTGAAAACTACGATGTGGCAGGTTCTCAATAATATACATTGTTCTCTATGCATTTTACATAACGTCAACATTTACAGAGGAAGGTAGCTTTGAAAAACTCCCAAGCAAAAGCCCTATTTGTTAAACATGTTGCTCTTTCTTTCTGGGTCAGGCTCGTCCCCCCACTCTCCACTGTCTTCCCTGTATGTAGCTCCCCTGCTTTTTGCAGGAGTCAGGAAATGGCCTTTCCATTTGTGGAGGAGACACAGGCATATTCTCAGGAAAGAAACAAAAGGTGAAGTTTTTGCTTCTCTTGCGCACAGAACAGCTGGGTTTTTTTTTGGTTTTTTTTTTGTTTGTTTTTTTCAGATGAACCCAAGGAAATCCTACACTCTTCTTTGATTTGAAACCGATGAACGGCCTTCATGAAGAAGGAACGCTGGCTGAATCCCCAGGAACTAACGTAACCCGCGTCTGAACGGCTCCTTAAGTAACTGCGCTCGCGCTGCTGCTGCCGAGGCCCTGGCTACAAACCCTGCTCTCGCAGACCCTCGGAGAGGATGTCCTCGGAGCCCTGTGTTCGTGGAGCTCCTCCCCGACAAAGAGGCCATGTGCTGGGACATCTCCTGAGGCTTCGTCCCAGGGGGGATGCAGTAAGTGCTGCTGAGTGAACAAAACCATTTTCCCGTCTCCCTTGAGGCAGAGGACGATTTAGTGTCTCTCGTCCCACATGCTCTGCTTTCAAGGGACTATGACGCTCCTTCATGGGGGGGTGGGGGGGATTTCTGACCCCTCCCCTTGAGTCTGGGCGGGCTGGTGACACTCTGGGGCTTCCGAGGTTGTTGCCAAAGAAGATACAGCTTCCACCTGGAGCCTTTTGGAACTCCAGCTCTGGGGACCTGAAACAGCCACACTTAGAGGCTGTGGGCAGGTGTCGTGGCTGACAGCTGGTGTCACTCACCAGACAGATAAACGAGGCCTTCACAGGACGTCAGCCCACGGCTGCCAAGCCAACCCTATCACTCAGCCTTGGCGGCTGAGGCCCCAGTCAGCGGGCAGCAGAGACGAGCCATCCCCACACCTCCCTTTCTGTTCTCGGTCCTGCCAATCCACGGGCAGAATTAGATGGCTGTCATTTTACATGGCGGAGTGGGCATGGTCTGCCACATGACGATCACTGGAACAGGCCTGCTCTCTAAGATGTTTTATTAAAATAACGCATCTGAATAACTGTTAAAACTCTAGAAAGCGGATATAAAGTAAGGAAGATGCCGGAAAGGTGTTTTTTAAGATCGCAGACATACTTACGCAGCATGAAGGGCTTCCCACTTCAAAATCTCCTTCCACGCCTGCTCGTTATTCTGATTGTGAATTCTAATGATATTATACATGTCCCTCTGACTGATATCGTCGTCCTTCCACTTCCACCTAGGAAAGAACATTCACGAGATTTGACAGATGTTACTGACACGTGTGTATGAACACGCACGTCCTGTTAGTTGTTCCTCTAGAGATTCCTAACATACTGGCCTTGCACTTATTTTCTGGTAAGTGTGAACATTATTATAATGGATTAATTTGTAAGTTTGGGGCACAAAAATCTCTTTCGTGTTTAATTCTTACATGAATCTGACGAGCAAATTTACATTCTCAGTAATATGCTCACTGACTTACCCTTTCCTTAGCATCGCATTCCAGAACATCTGTTCGGAAGGATAAACCCACTTCTTTTCTGAATCTGCTCTCGGAATGGATGACTCTTCTCTCACAGTGGATAGTGCAAACGGTTGATCGGGGGCTGGTGTCTGATTAGCTGGTGGCATCTAAATAAAATACGTGGATTTTAAAAATATTGGAAATACGATGTAAAGTAGGAACAAGCAGTATCATTAAGTACTTCCTGGAAAGCGATGCGTCAGACATGTGACACAGGTTCTCTGTTAAACCGGTGCCATCGAAATATCAGACCTCTCAGATGATTTGGCTGATGTGAAGAGGCAGAGTACAGAGGTTGTTTTTCCTTGTTGTTCAAGTTGTCATGCATGGTAAATACACGTTGTGGTTAAATTTCCAGTCTTTCTCCTCAAGGATTAAGAAGTAAAAACTAATACCGTGATCTGCAGGCATTTCTAGAAGCCTTTCTGTGATGGGCTTTTCAAAACGATTGCTGACTCTTCTGAGGAAAAGTCTCATGGACTCTATGTACGAAGCCACCTTCTTTTAAAATCTCTTTACGTTTAGGATTTTGCTTATGCTTTCGGCCTTTGGTCTGAAAACAGACAAGTGCTGATGTCCCCACATTGGCAGAGTGGAGGGAGGGGAAGAAGGCTTTCTTCCAAGCACAAGGGGAATGATACTGTTGTGCAAACACTTAGCCTGGACCAGGATTTCTCACTCTTGGCACCACTGACGTTTCGGGCTGGACATTTGGTTATGGGGGTCTATTCTGAGCATTGTAGGATATTTAGCAACATCCCTGGCTTCTATCCAATAGTACCCCTCTTCCTCAGTTGTGACAATCGATGTCCCCCTGCGGGCATAGTCACCCCAGATTGACAACCACTAGCCTCTAACTTCTTTTTGTGGTGAAAGTCTGAAGGATTTTCTAGCAGATGCACATGAATTAAGTCATCACGTGGCCCCTGGTTAGAAAGATGGCAGATGACCTGGGCATGTTGGCGCCATACCGAGCATCTATCAGCACAGCATGTTTAAGGACACAGGTCGGAGGCAGATGGGGATTCACTTTGGGCTCTGCCACGTCCTAGCTGTGATGTGGGCAAATGGCTTACCCTCTCTCTAAGGTCTTCAGCTCTAAAGCAGGGTCACTAAGACTGCTGGCTGCATAGAGTTGTCATGGGGATTACAGGAGACATTGTACGGTGCTTAGCATCCCCCAAAAGACATGAGCAAAAGTTGGCCGTCACGAATCCTCTCACTACACGTCGCAGTCCCACGGGGCCAGAGTCTAGGTCTGCAGGATTTCGAAAGGCTCGCCTTCTGTAGCACTAGGGCAGATGCCCTAGATCCACGGGTAACGGCGCTTTTGAAAGTGTCTCCAAACACTTTTGGTTGTTGCAATTGAGAAGAGAGGGTGTTACTGGCATCTCGTGGGTGGTGACCACGGATGCTGTTCAATGTCCCACAGTGCGCAGGGAGGCACCCGCCACAGGGAATCATCCATGTCCGAGTGTCGCTAGTGCCACCGGGAGAAACCCTGGTCTTGTCCACCTTCTTTTTCAACACAGCAGTGTCCTTACAGCTTGGCAGGGTAGTTACTGAGCGCAACAGGCTGAATGTTCACGTCCCTCCCGAGTCACCAAATCTGCTGGCACCTCGATCTTGGATTTCCCAGACTCCAGAACTACTGTGAGAAATAAATGTCTGTTGTTTATAAGCCACCCAGTCTCTGTTTTGTTTTCTTTCTTTCTTTCTATCTATCTATCTATCTATCTATCTATCTATCTATCTATCTATCTATCATCTATCTATCTATCTATCTATCAATCTATCTATCTATCTATCTCTATGTCGATATAGATAGATAGATATAGATATTCCACAGACTTTCTTTTCCAGACTATATATTGCCAGTTTCTTCGAATGGTAAATGGTTTGCCAAGATTTCTAAATATTTTTCATAATCCTGTGGCCTTCTAAAGCAGCGGTGCCTAGCCATTTTGGCACAGGGACCGGTGATCTAATGCCTGGTGATTTGAGGCGGAGCTGAGGCGGTGATGCCAACACTGGGGAGCGGGTGCAAATCCAGATGAAGCTTCGCTTGCTCACTCGCCCGCCGCTCACCTCTTGCTGTGCAGCCCAGGTCCTAACAGACCACGGACCGACCGGTACCAGCCTGGGTGTTGGGGACCCCCGCTCTAAAGTACAGGCCCAAGTCTGTCGCTCCATTAAAATGCGATTCCAAACATGAAACCTCAATTCCCTACGTCGCCTGACTATCACAAAGTGGGATGAGACCATGCTTCTCCCGTCCTTCCTTTCTCAATGGCATTCCACTGCTGGCTGCCATGTGACACTGTACCGCCCCAGTGATTCACGTGAATGATGGGGGCCCCCCAATCTTGCAGCATGCCTACAAGGTTCCCCAAGACCAGAAACAGCGTTACGAACTCTAGCTGCACTCCTAAGGGAACTTCCCACCCGCACCCCGTAACTACCCCAAAAGGAAATTCCTTTGGCGTGGCACGTCGCCAGTCAACCTGCTCTGGCACTTCATGCTCGCCGTTTTCTCAGGCGTTCTCTGAAACTACTTAGTAACACAGTCTAGATTTTTACTGTGGATGGAATATCTGATTTTAAAAGAACAGAAGAAATCAGCCCTAGCAGCCTGCGGCTTGTCTTGAGATCCATAAAAGCATCTCTGCACAGGAAGTTTCAGGAAGATGGGGCAAGCGTGCATTACCAGATTCGCAGGATCTAAGTTCTCCTTATTCTTGGCCACAGAGCCCGTGACGGGACACTCCACATACTCATACGCGCGTTCTTGGTGGGCAGGAGTGGAATTGGTCTTGCTCTCACATGCTGAGTCAGACGGCTTTGTACTCACTGGACAGCCTGAAATAGATCAAGTGTAACAATGGTGTCGGCACAGAGGCGGGATATCCAGCTCCTTCGATCTGGGCCCTAAAGAGTTGAGTTTCTGACCAGTGATGACCACAGGCGAAGCCAGGTTTCTACTACTGACAGCTGCCAAGAGATAAGCTGGCTAACATTCTAATATCCTAAAGACCAGGAAAAGGTTCTATACATTTACTTTCCCTTTGAAACAGCAACAGGTACCCATTCTCTTCTTGTGTCATGCCCCTAGCAAAAATAAACCAAAAAAATCTCGTTTACAAGAGAACGTACTGTCCGTGCCGTGGTTTCAGTGATGGGCTAGAAGGTACCCGCCTGGACTCCCAGCTGGAAGCTGCTGCAGAGGAACCTAAGTGGGGGCCAGGCCACCTTTCCCCAGTCTCCCTGCCCTTCTAGTCCCAAGCTCCACACAAGGCCCACCCCAATCAGGACGCAGGAAGCCAGGCTTTCGTTCTTGATGCCTCCTCTCAGGTACTGGAGTCAGAAGATGAAAATGAGCACAGGAACCCTCAAAAAGGCTACTGGAGACAACTCTTAACACTACTTTGCCTGTGCCTTGCTCCAGGACTAAAATAAGGCACAGAAAACTACGCCTTGGCTGAAGTTCTATTGCCCGTTAGTAGACAGAGTTAGGCAAGAAAAGGCAGACATTAAAGAAAACGTTCCATGACCCATGCAGGATCTAGATGTCACTTAAGTGGGAAGGTCTGAACCTAAGAGAACAGCAGCTGGAAGGGCAGCCAATGCCCAAGGATCCAAGGTGCTGATGGAAGACAGGGTGCAGCCTGAGGAGGAACTCTGCGGCTTAGGAGAGAGGGCAGGGGTCGGGAGAGCTGCGGCCCTGGAAGCCAGCTGCTCCTGCACGGGCGTCCTTGGCTTACACAGCCGCAGTGACACCAGGAATACACTGGCTGCTGGAT